GTTGGAATTCCATGGTCTTTCAGGTCCCTTCCAACACAAACCATTCCAGGATTCTATGGAATCTGCATTTCTGGGATGGTGGCAACACTGTCACCTTTCCATGATGATCATTATCAGTGAGGAAGGGAAAGACATCCCTGGATTTGCAGGTTTTGCTCTGCTGGAAGCACCAGGATGGGGATTTCTGGGAGGAAAACCAGGTTTGGATGGGATATCAGGAAAAGGGAATCAACTACTGGGAAAGGCAGCCCAGGGAAGTGGGGGAGAGACCATCCCTGGAGGGACTGGAATGATGTGGATGTGGCAATTGGGAACATGGAAAAGTGGTGGCCTTGGCTGTGCCAGGGAATTGTTGGACTCCAGGATCTCAAAGGGCTTTTCCAACATTAATGATTTTATGGGATGGGTTGGGTTGGAAGGGACCTGAAAAATCATGGAATTCCAACCCCTCTGCCATGGGCAGGGACACCTTCCACAATCCCAGCTTGCTCCAACCTGGCCTTGGACACTTCCAGGGATGGGACAGCCACAGCTTCGCCGGGAATTCCATTCCAGACCCTCACCACCCTTCCAGCCAGGAATTTCTTCCCAATATCCCATCTAAAGCTCCCATGTTTCAGTTTGAAGCCATTCCCTGTGTCACATCCCTCCATCCCTTGTCCCAAGTCCCTCTCCAGCTCTCCTGGAGCCCCTTTAGGCCCTGGAAGGGGCTCCAAGGTTTCCCTGGATCCTTCTCTTCTCCAGGTGAACACCCCCAGCCTGTCTCCAGCCCTTGGAGCATCTCCATGATCTTCTCTGGACTGAATCCAACATATCCATATCCATGGGAGCCACTTCCCAGATTATCAGACAGGAATTCTGCACTCCCAGCTCCATCCCAGTTCAACATTTCTTCCCATCATTCCATCTGCCCACATCCTGCTTCCCAACAGCCTTCCAGGACTTTCCAAGTACAATTTTTAATTAAAAGGCACCAAAGGGAGAGCAGGAATTTCCAGGAGGAATCTTTCCAAGCCAAGGGGAAGGCCGAGCGAAATTCCAACCGTGGCCACATCCAAGAGGGTATTATTCCCACACCCAACCAGATTCCCAGGGGATTTTCAGAACAGCAGGACTCACCTGAAGAGGTTTTCTGCTCCTGCCCTCATCCTCATCTCCTTGTTGATCTGCTGGTTGATCCGGGCCCGGCGATGTTGGAGTTTGCTCCGTTGGGTTTGGGCGAAGGGATCACAGCCCTGCTGGGAGAGAAGGGCAGGATCTCACCAAAACTCCCAAGTTTTGGGATGAAAAAGGGCACTTTAAGAGCCTGGAATCTTAATTCAACACCAAAATGCGCTGGAAAATCAGGTGTTGGAGCATTTGATGTGAAATCAAAGACCTGTGAGGACCTTGAGTCAGGCTCTCCCTTCAGGACTTCTTAGGATCTCCACACACCTTGTTTTCCTCAGCTTTTATGGAGCTCCTGGCATTCCAGCACATCTGACCTCAGGAGGATTCCCAAAACATCATCCCTGCCTGGCATGGATCAATATAAACATCATTCCAAGGTAAAACCCAACCCAGGCTGCAGCTGCTCCTGGATGCGAAAAAGCATCCCAGAAATGATGTTATTCCGTGGATGTCGGAGAAATTCAGCTCCGGAATTAAATGCTCGGCCAGGTTAAGCCCCAGCTGAAAGAAAACACCATCCCAAGTGTAAAATATGATATTTAAATCAAAATACAGACGGGGGAAGCCGAGAGTGAAGAAGGGAACGTGTCCACCCTCCAACAGCTTCTCTCCAAAGGATCCCAAAAGCTTTTCCTGCCCCAATTGGCAGCCAAAAGCTAAAAACCACATTAGGAGTTCCCAAATTAAGCAGGGATGGATTTAAACCCAATTTACATAAGGGAATAGGGGGGAAAAAAACCCACACCAAAACCCGCTTTTGGGTTATAAAAGGGATTTTCCTTCCTTAATTCCTCTTGGGATGGGAAGAATCGAGGTCGAGGTCAACCCTGGAAGGTCAGGAGAGAGAGGGGTTCTTTCAACCAGGCTTTGGGGTGCACCTGGGGACACCCAGAAGAGTGATTTGGGGCGTTTTTAAAGCTTTTGGAAAGGAAAAGAGAGAACAGAACTCTTCCATAAATTGTGTGGGAGCCGGGGAACAGCCTGGAATGGACAGGGTAAGTTCAGGAAGCCACGAGAAGGAAAGGGGGTTTGGGGTCAACCAAGGTGTGGCCAGAGCTGGAGTTCATCACCTCTGACAAAGCAGGGCCAGCAGTTGGACTTGCTGAGTTGGAAGGGACTTGCAGGATCATCCCATTCCATGGTTTTATTGTAGGAAAACCCTCGAAGCCCAGAAAACACCGGGAAAATCCCGCCGGCTTGGACCCTCAGCATGGAGAGCTGATGGGGGCACCAAAGTCCTCAGCCAGCGTTTCCATGAGGAAAAAAAGAGACTGGAAGAGCCTTTCCAGAGGAAAGACAGACAAATAAAGCCCCTTGGAAGGCCATCAAGGGTTCTCCCAACCCTTACCACATGGAATGACTAAGGATTCTCCTAACCCTTATACTGTGGAATAACTAAGGATTCTGCCAACCCTTATCCCATGGAAGGACTAAGGATTCTCCCAACCCTTATCCCGTGGAAGGACTAAGGATGTTGTGGTTCTGCCAACCCTTATCCCATGGATTGACTAAGGATTCTGCCAACCCTTATCCCATGGAATGACTAAGGATTCTCCCAACCTTTATACTGTGGAATGACTAAGGATACTCCCAACCCTTATACTATGAATGACTAAGGATACTCCCAACCCTTATCCCATGGAATGACTGAAGATTCTGCCAACCCTTATCCCATGGAATGACTGAGGATTCTGCCAACCCTTATCCCATGGAATGACTGAGGATTCTGCCAACCCTTATCCCACGGAATGACTGAGGATTCTGCCAACCCTTATCCCATGGAATGACTAAGGACCTCTCCCAGCACCTCTCCCAGCTCAGGAGGACCCACCTGGGCTGTTAAACCGGGCAATTCCCAGTTAGATCTGGTTCTGGAAGCAAGTCCTCAGGGAATGGATGTTTGCTCCCAGTGGCCTTTGCACTTCCCATCAAGAAGACGGAGCCTGGAATGCTCCGGAGCAACAGGACACACCTGGAGAGAGTCATTTGTGCCCAAAGGAGGCCTCCCCTCCCAGCTTTCCCGGGATAAACTGAATCACCTGGAGCAGGAGGTGGAGGCCAACAAGTCCAAAGGGCAAATCCAAGCACAAAGGGACTCGTTTGTGCTCTTTTGTTTCCAGGAGAGGAGCAATAACTGGAAGCAGGAGAAGGAAAAGCAAAGCTGGAGGGGATTAAGGGATCAAAGGAGGGAAAACACAATCCTTGGATGTGCTGCTGAAGTTATAAGGAAGAGAGAAATGGAGTTGCTTGAGGTGCTGCTGTGTCCTTGTCCAGAGGATCAGGAACGTGCTGGGAAAAGGCAGGCACGGATCTCTCCAGAGAAATGAGGAAGGGGATGGAAGTTGGGAATTAAGTGACAGCCCTAATACTGCAGGGAAAGCTCCTGGAGGTACTGAGAGAGCACGGAGCAAGCTGGGATATCTCCTGGAGGTACTGGGAGAGTATGGAGCAAGCTGGGATATCTCCAGGAGGTACTGGGAGAGTATGGAGCAAGCTGGGATATCTCCAGGAGGTACTGGGAGAGCACAGAGCAAGCTGGGATATCTCCTGGAGGTACTGGGAGAGCACGGAGCAAGCTGGGATATCTCCTGGAGGTACTGGGAGAGCATGGAGCAAGCTGGGATATCTCCAAGAGCAGCTTTAGCCACAAAACAGCCACCACCAGGATTCCTGACAGTCAGAGAAGGAAAATTCCCATGGAGGAGCCAAAGGAGTTTAATTCACACTGGAGAGATCCATAAAATGTCTCAGGGAGATGAGTCCTCACCTGGTGCTGCCCCAAACTCTCCCCCCATTCCCACCTCTGTGGGGACAACCTGCACATTCCCAAGGGCAGGGAAGCTGAGGGAGAAAGGGGAGCAGGACACCAGCCAGAGGGGAACACAAAGATCTGGAGACCCTTCAAGTCAGGCAGTGGAAAAGGGAAGGGATGAATCCTGGAGTGGTTTGGGAGAAGGGGTCTGAAAGATCATCCAGCTCCAACCCCTTTCTGTGGGCAGGAATATCCTTCACTATTCCCACGTAGCTCCAACCTGGCCCTGGAGCACTTCCAGGGATGGGGAGGCCACAGCTTCGCTGGGAATTCCATTCCAGACCCTCACCACCCTCCCAGCCAAGAATTCCTTCCCAATATCCCATCTAAAGCTCCCATATTTCAGTTTGAAGCCATTCCCTGTGTCCTGTCCCTCCTTCCTTGTCCCAAGTCCCTCTCCAGCCCTCCTGGAATCCCTTTAGGCTCTGGAAAAGGCTCTCAGGTCTCCCTGGATCCTCCCCTTCTCCAAGCTGGACATTCCCAGCTCTCCCAGCCTGGCTC